TCCACTAACTGGAAGATATCAAGAGCTTGCAGTCACACTTGTTTGTGTTCATCAGATGGAGTTGGCTCATAAAGTATGAAATATTGTAAAACGTTGGTCAGTGGTTACATCCCTGTGTCTGTTTAAGAATTTTTCCCTGGTGTCAGCACTTAAGAAGAGTTGCCAATGTTAACACGAGTGTCGGTTCAATTTTAGAATATTACTGAATTGATATAATCACAGAGTGTTGATTCTTTTTGACAAAGTGAAACTTGTGTCTGTGTTGGTACGACCGCTGACATAGAACTAAAGGGTCGATCCTGCAAATCGCTGACCTCTCCTGGGAAATGCATCTCCTTTTTATTTGATCCTGTTTCTAATTCAACATGGGTATTTATACCTACTTGGTAATAATAGAGGGCATGGGGATCTCTAGAAACTGCTCCTTGAGAGGAACAAAGGGCAGAAGGCCGGTGTAGAAGAGTCCCAACAGCTGCAGGACTCTTGGTAAGCTGAACAACACGGGGATACGAGGGTTCTACCAAACACACAAACAAACAAGATTAAATGTCATGACCCAAAATACATTCTCTTAAAGCGAAAGTGATGAAACAATATGGAATCAAAACATTTTTTTCGAGAGGACTGAATGTGTACTGTGATTTCATTTTCAAGGGAATGTACCTCTTTGTAACACTTCTTTACAATCTGGTTGCTTGCGTTGCCCCAGACAGTCAGGTGCTCCCTGTCGTACTTAACAACCAGCTCAGAGACCTGCAAGCATCATTAAGAGAGGCGTCATTACAGAAACTTCATATAAAACATCATAACAGAAGGTTGGAATAAGAATTGATATGGTCGTATTTCCACATTGCTTCTTGTAAATGTCTGACCCCACCTAGCAAAACATCCTGAAAATGATCAAATAAGAACTGCATCTAGCCGCTTTAATCTTTCAGGATTCGGGGTCTCAGTTTCAATATCTGCCTTGTTTTCAAACTTTTATTAACAATGAATTAGCCAATGTGGCCAATGTTAGAACATGAGAGTTTTTAAACAATAAAGACAGTAAGTCTGAAAAACAGACTTGACATTGGCTGGAAATCCACAAATAAAAAGAAAAAAAAAGATGTTAAGGTACTTTAAGAAGACACAGACAAACAAACCTTTTTGATAAGTGTGTCGTTGTTGACCTTGATGTCAATGTTGACTGGTGTATTTGGGAATGCATCAAAAATGTCCCTGAGGAGAGGAATGCGCTTGTCGTCTCCGCCCTCACAGAAACACTCTGCATAGTCAAGGATGAGTCAAAACAACTATCCTTCCTTCAGATAACAGTCAACATGATCAGAGGAGGGGACGCTGGCCCACGTTCATCAATCATTCCAACTGAGGCTAAAAACATGAACTACATAATGTGGTTTTAAATTTGACTGCATATGAATTGTATTAAGAAGACCAGTTGTGTGTACATGTTAAGCTCACCTCTCTGGAAAGTTACACCAAGCTTGCAGAGGTATGAAGGCAGTTCCTGATAAGAGCAGCACATATTTGTTAAAAAAAAAAACAAGAATCACAGCCATCATTCAAAACTTTAAAGAGGGGGTCAGTGAGCGTGATTTACAGATATGACAGTCAAAACTAAGTATATAAATATATATACACTCAGCATGATGTGATTAGTCCCTCTGTGCCAAATTAAATCTGTAAATCCATACACCCAATAGTAGAGCTGAACATTAAAGCTTCTAAGAAATACAAGACACCCATTTCATCACACGTTCAAATAAAGCCTATTACATTAAGAATGAATAGAGCAACAATAAATCCACAGGCTAACTCAATTTCTGCAGGATCAGATAAAAAAAATAAAAATAAAATCAAGCCAAAGTTCATCATGCATGTGACATATCTGGTGATTTAGTATGGACCTCATATGATTAAAGCACATGATCAATCAATGTTGTTCCCTAATTCAGACACAAACACAACATGTAACTGCTGTTTGTTTTTTGTTTTTTTTAAATAAGATTGTTGGGGGATCTTTTGACTTCTAAGTTTTCACATACTAACGTGGCCTTTTGCAGTTTCCTTGCAAACAAAGAGAAGTTTGGATTGGATTGAGTGTAATGCAGCAAAACACATTACATACATCCTTGGGGTGTTTTGTTAATATTCTTACTCAATCATTGTTTCCTCATTGTTCAATAATTGTCCTTTTCTTCTCTGCATTTATTGAGGAAAGGAAGCATATACGTTTTTACCAAACACAGAAGGTAAAAGACATCTCCACAGCGGTACTGGAGGTCTAAAACACCACAGTGATTCTTTTACGCAGAGTGCAGTTTAAACTAAAATACAGGTTAACTAAAGAATAATTGCAGAGCAGAAACTCACAGCGTAGGTCTTGTCACAGATATAGGAGTTGAGGCCGGTAGACCTCCGCAAGTTGGCGTCATGTGAAACCACAACCTCTTCATCTTTTGTCAGGTGGCAATCCAACTCCAGCATGTCAGTGCCAAGATCCACAGCACTACATGAAGCAACACACCTTTTATTTAACACCACATTTCATTCTTGTTAATCCCACCAATGTCCTCCTCAGGTCTATCATAATCACAAGTACAAGCATGTTTCACAAAAATGTGTGAAAGTCAAAGACGAAGACTACTGTGACTACGGTTTCTACTCACTGCTTGAAAGCTGCCATGGTGTTTTCCAGGTTTTCACCTGCACCTGCAATACAAAAGCAAACATAGACTTCAGTGGGTTGATTATTTTATCTTTGTGCACGGCTAGGTCAGTGGTCAATGGCCTGATGGAAGCACTGTAACAAATACATTGCAGTATAACCAAACCCAATAATTACATATTCTAAGAAAACAACAGTAGACTAATAAAACTGCCAATCAACAGTAAGTCTGAACCTTCAACAGAGAGAGATGAAATGATTAAAACATGATTAAAAGCAGACACCATAATGATAGAGTCACCTCCGCGATGGGAAATGTGTCTGCTGCGGAAAGTCTCTCGCTTCCTCCGGTGCAAAAGAGTCGGGCATTTCAGAAGCAGAGCAGAGGTGAGCATGTAGCCCGTTACTGTCGACAGGACATACACAGCTGCACACATCTTCTTTCAGTCAGCTGGAAAACAATCAAAAGACACTCAGATTATGTCAACAGTGAATCAGACTCAGAGTTTAACAATCTAACAGGCGGTGTCTGTGTTTTTACTTGACACAGAAACAGATCTAAGTGTAAATAAAGTCACTTTCATCATCACTTGTCACTTTATCTTGTCATTCTCTTCAAATACTGTCTCAATTCCCCCCAGTTAACTTCAACATTCATTTTTGTACTGTATAGACCCCCTGTTTTTATTTTTATTTTCATTTATCTTATCTATTCTGTTTAATGTGTATTTTTGAGCTTTCTAGACTGTGCTGCTGTAATGCCCGAATTTCCCCTCTGGGGATCAATAAAGTATTATCCTATCCTAAATAAAAACTTGATCAAATAACCAGTTATTACTATTAATAAATACAGAGACAGGTCTTTGCAAGTGTGAAAATGTATCCTGTACATACTTAACATTCATGCATTACAAAAATGAAAACAAATGAATGATATTTAACTTTATCGAAATTACATCAAAGTTCAAGGCTACCTCATTTCATAATGTGATTCAACACACAGTTTATTTCATAAGACTTTATTAAACATCTTAAGTTTACTGCCTCGGCTTGAACTTTGTTATTCATCATTGTCGGAGAGACAAAGCGTCGTGTTTGTTTGTTTGGGTGTGCAGGTTTACATTTATATGAAATGTATATCATCTAATCTATAACAAATGCAATATAATACTTATTCTGCAAGCTTACTAACGCTAGCGTACAAGCCAAACTAGCTACATGAAGCTAACGCTAGCTGAGCAGGGGTCGAGCCAACATGATAAAATCTTACCTTTGTCATTCAATTGTTAGCGTTTCCTTTATTCCTGATGAATAACCTCCGTTATGCGCTGGGAAGTGTCCAGGGAAGTTCTCGCAAGACCCTTGATATGAAGATAAACTGATGAATTAACGGTGCCCTCTTTTATGCCGCTCCTTATGATCCACACAGCTGTCTCTGACAATACATAAACCGGCTGCTGTCAGTGGTGTGCGCATGCGCCGTCTTGTGCTTCAAGATATTCATCAACAATGGCCTCTTCCGCCAGTACACACTTTCAGAATAAAAGCGACATATCGTCAATTTTATACTGACAGCTTTTATATATCTTTGGGGTTTACTTTTCTTTCTACTTCTTAGTCTGCAGTCAAATAACAAAAATGCAGATTAAATGACTTCATTTCTTTAAGACCATGGGTATGAAAATGCACCACATGCTACACAAAGTCTATTTGCATAGCCTATATTAAAAGACAATCCAAAGTAGACTGCCATTGCAGCTGTAATTTAGCGACAAAGTACACGTAATTGTGCTTGCTATAAACTTTGATCAAAGGGTATTGATCAAAGATTGTACCATTGCAATACTCTGACTGGTAATGTAGCCTAATATCATTTACATGTAAAATTTAAAAGTTTGCTTTTTTATCGAAATATGATGTCAATTGCTTTGTGGAAAAATGCATTTTTGTTCCTGACTGTTGGATATACAGCCCAACCATTCCTACCTAAACACCATGGTAAATGAGTTGATGATTTACTCCTTCCATCCACTAGGTGCTGCTAATGTGCAGCTAAGTAACTGTAAAACACAACATGGTGAAAGAAAAATATGCTAAAAATAAACATCCATTAAACATGGAGCTGAGTGTAATACAGCCAAGGTGGAATGAAACCGGCCAAGGTGACAAAACAATATTAATACCTCTAGTCTTTTCTATGCAAATACTTACACTTTGCATATAATCTACTCTGTAGGCTCTGTGGATGATAACTGTGATAACCAGAATCCGCACAGAACAAGGTCCAAGTTAAAACCTGGCACATTAGAAGCAGTCAAAGTTCACCTTATGCAATAAAGCGTCTTTGGAGATGTGACACACACCCTTAAGAGAAATACTTGAACATAACGTTATGTGCGAGTCATTTCTTGGTGGTTAAACAATTAAAAAGCTTCACTGAGTTTTCTTTGAGGTAGTTCTGGGTATGCTGCCAGGATAGTGAAAGCTCTAGTGTTCAGAAAATGGCCACAGGTCTAACAAACGTTCTTAAGGAGTGGAAATGTCTCGAAGAAGACTATCAACAACTTCAGGTAAGAAACAGATTAAAAACAGCTGACGATGTCAAACGATCCACATAGCACAACTTTATAAATCACCATTTTTCTTGCTTTTGAATAGAAAAGCAAGAAAAATAATGTAACATAATGCAATGCAATATTTTGAGGATGATGAATTAAAACACTTTTATTAACCTTCATATAGCTGCTCTGCTTCTTGTTTGCACTTGAGATTGTTTTCTGCCATTTGCTTTGGTTATTGATGTAACACCATGTCGCTGTCATTCAGGAGACCCACAGACTGTACTTACAGAAACTGGATGAAATTTCCAAACTACAAAAAAGCTGTTCTTCCTCCATAAGCAATCAGCGTAAAAGACTGAAAGAGGTGTCCCACTGTGTAATAAAAAAGTAAGTAAAGGCACCGATTTATTGTAACATTTGAAGATATGTACAGTAAAGTAATCTGGTCGTGCACATACATATATGCACACCATAGTGATAGAAACACTAATATGCACCTGTTATACATTGTATCATCCATCAGATGCAGCACAGGACCATCTGACGAAGATGATAAGACACTGGAGGAAATAAAGGCGAAAATAAAGACACGACCAAATTCTTTCTCTGAAATGGAGGCTTGCCTTCCCAAGAAAAATGGGTGATGATGATGATAATTGAATCCAAAAGATCTTGAAATAGAAGTTGATCTACATGTACTACCTTATATGAAGATAAACAATTATAACCAGATTATTGTTTTATATTTCAGGCTGTACCTGAGTCTTGTTTTGGGAAATGTGAATGTCACCTTCCTCAGCAAGCAGTCAAAGTGAGCGATGATCATCATTGTTTATTTGAACCCAAAGCCCTCTTCCAACCCAAACCTCTTTAGATTCATCTGTTTAGCCTATCATAACAAAACTATTATTACTGATTTAAAACCTAATAATTGAATCAAATATTTATTTGGCTAATGAGTTTCTGCTTTGAAACCTTGACCAATGATATTGAGACTTAAATCTGTCACATTCTTGTTAGATTTGGCTACAAAGACGAATACGAGAAGTTCAAGCTGTACCTCACAGTGCTCCTGCTGCTTTTCTCCTTCATGTGCTATTTCTTTGTGAGCTACAGGTGAGCATTCACAGAAAATGTAGCACTCTGACTCTCCATGTACTGTATGTTTCAACCCTCAACACTTGTCCAACTGTGTGTCCTTGACTTTAGATTTCTTGATGCAATACTCAATTTCCTGCTGGTGTGGTACTACTGCACACTTACAATCAGAGAGAGTATCCTCATTACCAACGGCTCCAGGTCAGTCCCAACACACTTCCAATGAACTCACCATAACAATGAGAAACATCTTAACAACATTTTTAAAAAATAATGATGTTATCTCTGGAATATGGTTTTGCTTTAAAGACCATTAATAATTTGCCTTTATATCATTTCAAATGTAAAATCTAAATATGATGTAAAATGTGTTCTGCATCATAGAATCAAAGGCTGGTGGGTTTTCCACCACTATGTCTCCGCATTTTTGTCCGGTGTCATGCTTACATGGTGAGTAGAAGAAAAAGATCCCTGACTCTACTAAATGAAGGAAACGAAACATTTTCTGTTGCTTCCTTTTTTTGTAGTTTAAGAAATGATATGACATTTAAAGAGCATAAAGAGAAAATTAAAACGCAGAGGAAAACTAACAAACAGAAACAAACAAAACAAAAGATTCATTCTCAGATACAGTAGCTGATCAATTCTTCCTATTGCATAAAAAATATATATTTTTTCTAATTAAGTCTTCTCTGTTTACATACAAACCTTCTCTTTGGCTAAAGGCCAGATGGGAACCTGTATAAGATTTTCAGGAACCAGTTCCTCGCTTACTCCTTGTACCAAAGTAAGAAAGAGCACTGTCTGTATCTACAATCATGATGGAAACTTTTCAAAATAATTGAAAAGTCTAAGTGGTGCTTCCTTCATGTGGCACACACAGGTTTTGTTCAGTGTCTGCAGTGCTATTATCAGAGCGGGTGTCTGTACAGATTACGAGCTCTGGGAGAAAGACACAACATGGATCTGACCGTGGGTGAGATACAAAACACACCAAGGATACAGACACACTCAACCAGGCCATCATCATTATATATTTAGTAAAACTTGTTGAGAAGCATTACAAGGTTTTGTCAGTGCTTGGATTAAAAAAAAAAAAAAAAGATTTCAAACTCTCGTCATGCTTTCTGCTTTTAGAGGGATTTCAGTCGTGGATGTGGAAAGGGCTGACATTTCTTTTGCCCTTCCTGTTTTTTGGTCATGTGAGTACAGTACTTGAACTTGAGAAATTTCCGCTTACGATTGGTTAGGTCGCATTAAAAAAAATGATGCTGTGTCATGCTTTCGACTGTGACGTTAGAAATGCTGATAAGAAAAGCTGATGTCATTCTAGACTCAATATGTTGTTTAAGCATCATTAAAGGAAATGTTTAGGTTTTCACTCACCCTGATAACAGCTTAATCTTTGGCATGCCTCTGTGTTTTGCGTAGTTGCTAACTGCATTCATTCACAACAAAACAAGCCCTTCAGGTCTTCATGTTTTGTCTCGTAGTTCTGGCAGCTCTTCAATAGCGTGTCTCTCTTCAGAATGGCTCAGCTCCCAGATTGTAAGGAATGGCAGGTCAGTGCTTTCACAGTCAATGAGTCTGAATATGTCTCCCTGATCTTACTTTTATAACCAGTTAAAGATTTATTGCATCCATCTTTATCACACTGCGTGAGAACAAAAGAGGGCTAATTGTATGAACAGTGTGTTGATATTTTATTGAAGAAATCACTGACAGTCTGTTTTTGTTGTTACGGATGTCACTTCACATTATGGATGAACATTTAATCCCCACCTGATCTCTTCCATATCACATGTAAATAGTCAAATGTATCTGATTCACACATCGTTGTCTTTGTTCCATGTGATGTCAGGTCCTGATGTGCGGTCTCTGCTTCCTTGTTCTGTTCATGGGAAACTTCTCCACCACTGTTGCTGTGGTCCGTCAGAAGATGAAGAGCAGGAGTCAGAAAAAGAGCCTCTGATCCAAAATAATAAAAATAAACATCTCTACAAAAGGTGGTCTCACATGGCCCTGTCATTATTAATGTTCATATAATCCTTATTTGTGTCAACTGTTTCTGTTATGTAATTATTCCATCACATTCTTATTTATCGACTGGATAAATCAACTTTGAAGGTTAAATTATTCTCCACAATACTTTCATGTAAAATAATCCTTACAGGAAGAGACGAATAGCCTCGAATAAAGTCTTCAATTCTAGAGACAGTGTTGTCTGTGACAGTGTTTTATTTCTTCAATATTTTGTGCTTGTGACTGCATGTGTTTGAGCGCTTTATCAAAGCAGCCGATTCATTTTGCTTACCTTGTTATTTGTTAAATTTGGCTGGGTGAATTCTCTTTAAGTTTCTCGGCAGCAATTAAAAAAATGTATTATGACCTCAAAAAATGAAATTCTATGCTGTAAAAGAAACAATCAAACAGACTAAAGTAATTCAAGCTGTACCCCATCAAACTGCTATAACAGTAAAACCAGATGTTGCAGTAAGAATAACTCAATCAATAATATGTTGACAGTCAGAGGTAGTGTCAGTATTTAGATTATTAACATTAGTACAAGTAATGCAAACTTTAAGATGTCCTCATTATAACTAATTATAAGTTATATATGCAAATGTTTCCAAGAAGTTCATAAGTTACCCTGTAAGGGTTATATTAGTGCATAATACTGCATTTGTATTGCTTGATGGTTGCAAAACAGTAGCAATTTAATTGTAATGTGGAGCTATATGAATCACTGGGTGACTTCATTTATGCAATGTGCTCTAAAATGTGGTGTACTAGTAGATATTCAAATAGCTCTTGTAGCGTTAAAAGAGTTAAATACAAAGAGTAGGCTACTTAATTAAGCTGAAGTGATAATGCAAAATGTGTATGTTGGTTATATTCTGATGAGTGCATGTCCAGTGGAATATCATATGGAGAGATATCTCATTTGAATTCCATATAACTCAGTGACTGTAAATGCCTATAAACTGCAGTATAGACATTGACTAAGGTGACAAAACTCCAATTAAGTTTGAAATTCAACTTAACCAACCTACAAATTACCAGCGCTGACATGTGTTCCCGTATGAGTACTAGTTGATTTTACCAGTACAGAGACCTATGGGGCGCAGATTGTAAAGTTGCGCACACTAACAACAACATTTCTCCACATTTAGTCCTAAAAAAAATCACTTTTTATTAACATTTAGAGAAATATTTGTGAACTTTGTCATATTTACTTTTGTGAATAAAAATGTAAGATAATTTCATTGGCAAATATAAATGTTAAATATTATATCTAAATGTTGAATGTTTTATCTAAATGTTATATATAAATGTTAAAAATACATGTCCTGATTCTAAATATTTACCTACGTTTGTAAACATTTAGTTTACATTCTGAATATTTAGCTTTGATCCTATATATTTAGCTAAGATTGTAAATATTTATAATCAAAGCTAAATATATAGAATATAAACTAAATATTTAGCAACGACTTCTAAATATTTAGCTAATATGCAAATTCACTCTACCGCCCGCCTGAAGCACCAAAATAAAAGTTTAAGGAAGCGATCCAAGCCTTAGAAAAGAAATGTACCAAGTGCTGAGATGTGGAGGATCCTGTGGCCGACACCGAAGAAGTAGTGCTATGAAAACCCTGAATTGCGGCCAAAACGGCCCTTCCAATATTCTCCGCTAATTCGCTCGACATTTTCAAAATCCCGCCAATCTCCTGTAGGAGACAATGGTTGGATCCTTCCTCGAACTTTTATTTTGGTGCTTCTGGTGGGCGGTAGAGTGAATTTGCATATTAGCTAAATATTTATAAGTCGTTGCTAAATATTTAGAGTCTTAGCTAAATATTTAATTATTATGAAGCGTGCTCAGTTTACAAACAGAGAGAGAGAGAGAGAGAGAGAGAGAGACGCACAGTCGAGTCCGCGTCTGCACATCAAAGAAAAACACAGAGCATAACAGCTACTTTTCTGACTTTACAGCTTATTTTAAGCCATTTTAATCAGACACAGCAATAAATAAATCAAAAAATAAAAGAGATGCGCGGCCGAGTCCACAGGCGAGTCCACAGCCGCACATCGGAGAACAACACACAACATGACAGCTGCTTTGTGTCTTATATTGAGTCATTTTAGTCAGATACAGCCATGAAACTCTGGATTTCTCCTTAATGAAGGCTGTCAGTGTTGTTTACCCGCGTGCTTGTGCTCGTGCATGAAGTGTACCGTGCTGAAGCACACCTCTCTGAAGTGTGCCAAAGACAAGGAAGTGTACCGTGCTGAAGCACACCTCTCTGAAGTGTGCCAAAGACAAGGAAGTGTACCATGCTGAAGCACACCTCTCTGAAGTGTGCCAAAGACAAGGAAGTGTACCGTGCTGAAGCACACCTCTCTGAAGTGTGCCAAAGACAAGGAAGTGTACCGTGCTGAAGCACACCTCTCTGAAGTGTGCCAAAGACAAGGAAGTGTACCGTGCTGAAGCACACCTCTCTGAAGTGTGCCAAAGACAAGGAAGTGTACCGTGCTGAAGCACACCTCTCTGAAGTGTGCCAAAGACAAGGAAGTGTACCGTGTCTAAGCACGGCACGGAGCGTCACACTGGTCAAACGAACTGGACTTCAGCGTTGAAGCGTGCTTAGGCACGGTACGGATGGCCAGTGTGACCGCGCCCTTAGCTAAATATAGTAGTTAGTTTATATTCTATATATTTAGCTTTGATTATAAATATTTACAATCTTAGCTAAATATATAGGAGCAAAGCTAAATATCCAGAATGTAAACTAAATGTTTAGAAACGTAGGTAAATATTTAGAATCAGGACATGTATTTTTAACATTTATATATAACATTTATATATAATATTTAACATTTATATTTGCCAATGAAATTATCTTACATTTGTATTCACAAAAGTAAATATGACAAAGTTCACAAATATTTCTCTAAATGTGAATAAAAAGTGCAACTTTACAATCGGCGCCCCATAGAGACCTGACCTTGTACTTTGACCTAAAAAATTGAATGCATGACTGTAGTTTTTAAAAGATTATTACTTTGGATAAATGCGACGGCTATATATATATATAACACGTTTTAGAAAGTTTTGCTACTTTACTTAACGTTAGAATCGGAATATTTTCTCCAAGAGACTACAGATTCACTGAGCATGCAAGTTGTTGGGCAATCTAACTAAGTTTATCCTTGTTACTGTGAAAATAAACACCCTTTAAGCAGTGGAGGACATGCTCGATGAGTCTGCTATTCAGTCTATCATAAATATACAGTCTGTTCAGCTGGTTTCATTACATAACCATGACCCTTCGCCTGCTGCACCTCCACATGCATTCAGTCAATCAGCCAGGGGGATCTCATCCCACGTGCGTGCTGTGACATTAGGTAATGCCCCTGCAGACCGGTCCATGTTGAGAGTGCGGGCAGAAAAAAATAATAATACCCCCCCCCCAATTGTAAGACATGTTAGTATTTCTTTGAATAAGTGCCGCATCTAGAGCTTCGACAAAATAAAATAATTTCCAAATCTAAATTGTATTTGGTGTTGAAAGTGGAGAAGCCCCCCCGCTTGAAGGATCGAGTTGGTTTGGTCCTACATGGCGTAAAGTTTCCTTCCGTGTACAGCACAGTGTCAGACTGACACAAAGAGGGAAGACGAAGGTAAGTGCGAGACTAAGTTCACCTTTTGAATTTATTTTACATCGAGCCCTTGTCTATGACAATGTGCGTGAATTACATGTTCACAATATTCAATTTACATCGAACTAAAACCCCCAAAACAGAAGAAATGTTCAACTTTTAAGAGAAACATTAGCTTAATACGGGCAGACTCCAGTGTTATTACGCAAACCGGGGCTAACTAATATGCATTTGGAGTCGTTTCCTTGGCATATATAGTTTAAACAAGATAATAGTGAACAAGCTTTGCTTTTGTTATGAACAGACAACACTTGAACATACATATAACTCAAGTTTCAGCAAGTGTCACATTCCAGGGAATAGCCGGGGCCCTGTGTCCATCCCCATAGGCTAACTTGGTAATTTCCTCGTTTTATTTTAATATCAGCGTGACTGTATGGTATATTATGTGAAGGTACAACTTCATTTTAAAGCAAATATCTTTCAAACATGTGGAGCTCTTCATGCCAGTGCAGCTACTTCGACTGTTACACAACTTACTCTGTTTGCTTTAAGCAGAAGAGGTGAATTGTCACGATGGACTTTTAGTGAACTCATCCATGTCGTAGTTATCGATCACTTGAACCCTTTCTGCAACAGATATTGAAAGCCTCTTTTGATACTAGTCTCAAACCAAAGTCTAACATGACTGCACTTGAACGTACAGGACAGTCTGTATCATTTGAAAGTTTGGGTTTATCTCTTTTTGTCAGAGTGAAGTGAGCTTTATTTAGCAGACGAGCTCTACTTCTTCAAAGTGTATATATTTCCCCTCTAGTTTGTTGGAAACCTTATTGTTTGCGAAGTCGACATGCAAGCCTTGAATCATACGGAAAAACACTGTCGGTGTTGTACAATGGTTTGTCCCTCACTGTTACCTAAATCATCTGGTAATTGACCCCCAAGGGGGCAGAGCAGAGCACCCACCAAAGTAGACTAGTTGGCATGGATTCTGTATCCCAACAGATATGAGCCACTGTAACAGCCTGAAGATGATCAGACTTAACAATATCTTGCAGGTAACATTGCTATGATAGTGTTTCACTCTAATTGTTACAAAGGTTATATAGTGGGGAAAATATATATTTCAGGATAACAAGCACAGTCCCAGTGCACCTTAAATGGTTTGAGGCATTTAAAGCTGGACTGTTTGTTGCATATATACCTCTTTCTCCTTAATAGTACCCTTTTGGCCTCTGTGAGGCCGGTAACGGCCCCCGTCGCGCCGGGGTCCGGTCTTCTCGGAGTCGGGTTGTTTGGGAATACAGCCCAAAGCGGGTGGTAAACTCCATCTAAGGCTAAATACTGGCACGGGCCCCTCTCTCGGGGCGAACCCATTCCAGGGCGCCCTGCCCTTCACAAAGAAAAGAGAACTCTCCCCGGGGCACCCGCCAGCTTCTCCGGGATCGTTTGCGTTACCGCACTGGACGCCACCAGTTAATGCTATAAGAATAACACTACTGATAATACACGTTATGAACTCTAAGAAATCAGATATTTATACCCTTCACAAAGGCAGAGTTTATTGCAAGGTTTAAGCCAGTACTCTCAAGTGAACTGGCACCTAAGGGTATTTGGCTTGATGTCTGTAAGATAGACTCTATAATTAGTTACAGCAACTGCCAGCACTAACCCAATATCTATTCTGTTAATCGCTTAATAAGTGAACTGATTTACAGATTTAATGTCTGACAATAGCTGTTGATGATAGCTTTCATGTGTATGTGCTGGCTAATGAAAAATTAGTAATGCGTGCAACTTAATGGCAAAGTTTACGTTTGGTTCATGTAACAGTGGTGCTGGCAACCACAGAGCTCTGACAACTATTTTGCTGTTTGAAAGTATTCATACATATCATGGTAACAACTCTTTCATTTCTGAATTGCAGCTATTCGAAGTCTTTGTTTCTGTTTTCTGTTTGTTTTCTATAAGAATATTTGAATATCAGCCTACGCCATCATACTTTCTAAAACTGTAAAACATCCATTAATACTTAATCAGACTCAAGAAATCCACCTCTTACCAAGCTGAAGAGTAGTTAAAAGTCATACCAGGCAGCAGGATGGTTTTGGTTGAAGAAGTGAGAAACAATTTGATCAAACTAGTTCAAAGTATTAATTAGTATTAGTATTAGTTTAACCTGAAAATGTTCATGTCGGACTAAAATAAAGTCTTTGCCGGATTAGATATTTTTCCCAGTGCCTTTTAGGAATTATTATAAGTGTTATTGGTTATGTAAGGTTGTTATAAGTATAAGTAATACAGGCATTGCGTTAACCATAACGACCGCTCCTACTTATAGTGTAAGCACACAGAGTACCTTTCTGCATAACAGCTGAAGGGGTTTGATTGATGAGTCAGTGAGTCAGCATTTAAGCTAGAACAAGTCGGCGGTTTGATAAGTGTTGACACAGCTCTTTCCAACTGTACAGCAGTGGTGGAGGAGCCAGCTCAAGATAATCCCATCTCATTGTTTTCACTCTTTAAATCCAACTGAAACTTGAGCGCTCAGAAATGTCGGTCCATTCACACTCAGAAAGAGAAGAGTTGTTGTAATTGATGCCTTACGTGATACCAAACTCAGTTGGTCACAATTAGACTGTGTGTGGAGCTGTTTACAAAAGCAATCATTGTTTGGCATTGCTTTAAGGATTCTGCTCACATATGTTAACAATTACATTGTTCTGTTGCTGCTAAACCAGTTCTGCCTCCACAGTTTAGTTCAGTTTGGTTTCTTTTTTAAAGGTTCTATATGTAACTTTTTATATGTAAAGATCGTTTTTTATCGCCCATTAATAAGCGAACGGTTAACTGATGTGAAAAAGTAGATGTTCACTGTCTATCTGTGTTGCCTGAATACGTTTTCTCCCTGGTTCGTATTTTCTGTGAAAGCTCCAGGAAGTGACATTTTATGCGCGTTCTCAACGTCCTCCTCACAAGGTTGATCAACAGAACAAACTCATCACACACTCCCGTTATAGCCAGAGGCCGTCTTCCACACACTTTTATCCGCTCTAAGAGCTCTCAAAGGCGGGCAAACTCATCACACACTCCTGCTCTCAGCCAGTGCCTGTCGAGACTGAATACAGACACACAGACTCCTTATCAGACTTTCACATGTGTATGACCACTTACCTCCTCTGTAAACATTATGCCGGTAAATATCCAGTGTTTCGCGGCCGATGATGATGCTGCTCGTTTGTGTACGTACGATCACGCGAGGGAGAGCGAGCAACAGGTTACTGGTGCAGTTCGTCTAACGGCCTGCATTATCGTTACAAACGCAGTATTTTTGAAAGTTACTTATAGCCCCTTTAAGCTGAAACTGTAGAACTAAAAGTCTACCTGTCTGCTGCTCCCAACATCTTTAATAAGAGTCCCTGCAACCTATATCGAACACACCAATCAGAAGTTGAGTAAAAAAGACATGAATCTATATGAATAAGGCCCTCTGAGGAAGATATGGGATTGATCTGATCTTATATTGGTAAGGGGTCCGGTATTGATGTAATTTATGTATCGGACTGATGGCGCCGATCCAAGTCACTGTTCAAGAAAGAGAGAAAAAACATTCTCAGCTCACACAGTCTAGCTTTGAAGACATTCAGAATGAACTGCAAGTGCCCACATCGTCTACATCAAGACGTTCAGGCAAGATGGAACAGCAGCTTCTACGTGATTTAAAAAAAAATCTTGCACTTTAGTTACAAACATTTAGTTTGAAAACCTCAAAGTTGTAACTGCAACCTGTTTGCATGTGAAGCCAGCACAAAGTTCAACACATTTCTTTGCAATCATTTAAGTTAGTTTGCATATCTATATATTTTTTTATTTGCTTTTTGATTAAGAAATGCAATGCTGGGTTTAATACAGCTTTGTGTAACCTTACACATAATATCAACAACAATAATAATATTAGTTATGATTTAAAAAAATACCGGAATCAGTATTGGGTAAAAATTTATCTGAATCAGATCGGAATTGAAAATAACTGATCGTTGCATCTATATAGCACCCACACACATGACTGAGGGTGAGCAGCAGGGTTTTTTTTTTTTTTTAAAGGGTTATTTTGGGGGGGGGCTTTAGTGTCTTCATGGGAGAGACAGGACAGAGGACAGAGTCGGAAATCAGGGAGAGAGAGAGTGGGGAATTTCATGCGGGAAAGAAGCCACAGGAAGGATTCGCACCCGGCCCGTCTACTTTATGGGTTGCCGCTGCAGCATCTATACATGGGGCGTGCAAACTAGCCACTTGGCCAGCTGCACCCTGTGAGCGTGTTTTTTGATCTACTGTTTGGATATTTATTTAGCTTGCCATTCCATCCAGAATATCAAATAATTCATATGAAAGTTGTTAAAATGTCAAGAAACAACAATAATTTGAAAATCCCCAAAGTGAAGTAACAGGAAACAGTTACTCCTCTTGCAATGTGAGCAAATTGACCAGGAAAAATCATGAATTGTTGTGGTGATTGACCAAAACTTAGTCACATTATCTTTTCACACTCTCTGTGTTAAAACCATGGACTGTATAAAGAGTATTATTATTTACAGTCTATGGTTAAAACAGTCATTGTAAATGTCTCAGTGTCTACTTTTTATCATACCGTACATGACTGGTCTGACAACTGTTCCTTCTGTCTCCACGTAGACTGTCAAAATGACAGACATGGAAGCTGATACCACCACACACACGGAGGCCCTGGTGGATGAAGAGGAGCCTCTTTTCAGCAACCTGGACCTCTTCCTCTTCTCCCTCATTGCTGGCCTGGTCATTTATTGGTTCATGTCCCGCAAGAAGCCTGAGCCCATCCCTGAATTCAAGAAGCTTGACACACCGTGAGTGCCAAATATACTAGAGAGTGTTGTGTTTAAATTAAGCTTTAAAAATATATGGAGGCTAGTTTAAGGTGAAGCAACAAGTTAAATTCTATAAATTCTGTTTTTACGTCGTCTGATGTGTTCCAAGGCACAACATGTATAAACACAGGAAATCTAACAAGTTGTTATTATTTCCGCACATCTTGATTGACAAGCAACTGTAAAGACATGGATTCTTCAGTGTCAAACTATTATTTGATAACTTCAATTACATAAAAGCTAATGTTAGCATTTTTTCACTTCGTAGCTAAAGTTACACTTAACGAGAAGAGTACACCCTTCTTATTGTATTGTGTATCAACAGCAAACGGTTAAGATGAATAGTAAGTGGTTTAATGCTCATATGATCTGTTATCTTAAAGTAACTAATGAGTTATTAAATACATAGTTTTATGGCCAAATATCTCACAGGATGTTCATTGCTCATTGCCATTTTGGTTGCTAATAACTTCTGAAGTGGTACGGAGAATGATCTGTCATATTCTCTACGTTCTCACATCTTGCAACCTGAGACACAAACAGAACAATATAAGAAAAGCGTTTGAGCCTCCCAGTCTGAGCATGACGTCAGAGTTAAATGGCCATCATATGAATATGATCCATTGAGTTATATCAAATCTTAAGTTATGACTTCATGTGCTGGACTTCTCCTACTGGCAAAACATTCATTGAGCTGTTGTTGTTTGTCAATTTACATTGTTTATAGTTTAGGATCGATGGGAATGATGGGAAAGGTGCTAACTCCAGGGATCTGGTTGTTCCTCATTCCATTTAACCAAATCTGTCTGAAGAGTTGTGACTATATGGGCTCTGCAGCAAATGTGCGAGAGTGCACGGCTTAAGGCTTGTAAATGTTCCACTAGTAGCGACCTTTGTTTTCTGCTCTTTGACACGCTCTCCTCCTAGAAACTTTTCTGCCCCCTCCCTCTCTCTCTGCCAGCCTCTTTCTCTCCTCAGTGCTTGTGGCCTCTCCAGCTCCACCTAGTTCCTCCTTCCCTCATCCCTTGTTGGTGGAGTTATGGAGGCCTGGCTTGATTTTAATGGACTCTCCTTCCATTAGCCACATTCATTTGAGTAAAGCTGAGGGCCAGGAGCAGCCACGCTTGCTGTGTGGCAAAAGTCTTGTTTGGGTGTGGGAGACAGTGGAGACAGTTTTTCTGGAGGCCTAGTGGGGGAAATCCTGAGAAATTGTGTCAAAACAATTGGTAGGATTAAAGGGGGAAGACCCCTGTTGAGCATGTTTTGCTTTGTATATGATTGTGTGTGTGTGTGTGTGTGTGTGTGTGTGTGTTTTTTTTTAGTGGAGTGCAGGAATACAGGAAGGGAACGTAGAGCAACACAAGCTGCTTTCCCCTCCCCTTAAAAGCAGCAGATTACCTAACTGTTATGAAGGGGGGCGTAGTCTTCCATGTCTTTCCTGTGCTTTTGTTTTTGGCCCTGAACCCCATTTTAAAGGTTCCCTGGAGAGAAAACGAGAAAGGCGAGCCAAGCTGCCTTTGTGAGTCCTCTCCAAAGGTGGAAAGTTGAGGCAAAAGACAAGCAACCCTTTCTTTGCCCTGAGTTACTTTTTTTTTTTTTCATTCTTCTCTCCCCTACTCCCCGGTTTTTCTGTGTGCGTGTGTGCGTGAGTGTGCGTGTGTGTGTGTGTGTGTGTGTGTGTGTTTGGGCTCAGCTGCTCTCCCATTGGAGCAGGGCCGTGTCACAAATGGAATCCTTTTATGATAAATGAGGTTACCATAGCAATGACATTCCCCTCTCTCCTCCAGTGAGATGGGGGCGGGGGATACTTCAGGAAAAAAAAAAAACCTACCATTCACTCTCACAGCTCCTCTCCCCCTTCTCCTCTGGTCCACCCGAGGAGTTGCTCTGATAACAAGCCAAATTCTCAGAATGGATCTTGTAGACTTTTTCGTTCTTAACACCTTTCAGAACGGAGAGGAAAATGGGCGGGGATGAGGAGGAGGGCATTTTCAGCCGGAGAGTGTTTCAGTGTGTGAGTCAAAAGTGTAGGTCTGCAGCTCGACTACATTTTATTGGAAAGTCAGTTTCCCACCATTGTGTCCACAGCGGTTGCCAGACATTGACAGGGCTTGTAGGCTCTGTGTGTGTGTGTGTGTGTGTGTGTGTGTGTGTGTATGTGTGTATGTGTGGACAACAGACGCTACTGGTTTCAGAGAGCAGCCCAGGAAGAGGCAGAGTTCAGACCGTGTTGGAGCCTATTAGGTGAAGACGGGCAGCTCGTCCACAGCTGCGAGTGTCTTGTGGCCTCTCTGGACTTTTTTCTTTTTAAGATGTTGCCATCCTTTTGTCAGGGAGTGTTGACATCCTGCTTTTGATTTCGAGCGTGGCGGTTTGCCGGTGTGGCCTAGCCAGTGGTGCTTGTGGCAGCGGTGAGCTACAGGGCTGCATGCCATGGGCTGTGTCTTCTCCCTGCCAGAAGACAGGAGAGATGCTGCTGAGAGGTCAGTACAGTGTTTGATTTACTGTTCCTATCCAAAAGGAACAAGAAAACAGTCCTTTTCAAACTTGGCTTGCAGTAACATTTCCTGTCAACTATTGTTTAATCCTGCTCTTTTGCTTAGTTGCTCACTTACTGAGTGGAAGTTATTGTTTGACACCTACAATTGATTTGAACCATTTCTTGCAAGACTAAAAACAAAGTTAAACAACGACAAAATGTTATGTCCCATAAAGCTATGTAACAGCTGGTGGGCAAATCTTGTCAACTACAAACACAATTTAATTATTTGCATCTTCTGATTTCTAACTTGTTCAGTCTGTTAACATGTAACCAGTCAGTGCGCATATACAGCCTAGTTTCATTTCAGTCATTAAGAAAATATAGCAGAAGTTTAAATTTCATTTTTTGGGGGGTCCTTAATGCAATCAAAAAAGCATTTGATAATCGTATTTCAAGATCAACCCCACATTGAGTGAGTCTGTGTTGCAGATTAAGACTGAACTGACTCACTGGTTTTCTTTATGAAGGTTTAGTTCCTTAGTGGATTAATGAGTGGAAAGTAAAACTTGACAGTTAATACAGATTATTCACTCTGAACTATTTGCAAACAACTGGAAAGAAGAAAATGAGCACATGTACATGTTATTGAAGTCAAACTAGTGGCTTGTGTGCATATCATTTTATTTCTGTTTTCATGAACACCAACATTGAAAACGTATTGATGCATAATCAACTTGTAGTCCCACGATATACCGGTATGTAATGAATTGTCAACTTCTATTCACTTTTTAATTTTTATTTCTCTTAAAGTTTTCATTAATACAAAAATTATTTGCACAGAACAAAAATATACAAAAATACATTTTCAAGTTGTTTATTAGATCAGAGGAGTAACGTAAGAAGCAGTTATTGATGAAATCATATTTTCTCATATCCCTTCAACCCCATGAAATGTCAATCAGAATATCTCTTACCTTTTGTGTTTATTTAAACAAATAGGAAAATAAATCAAAAAGGAAATATTTGTCCTATGCGCCTTGCTAAACACATGCTAAAGATACTTCAATTGGTTGTCCCAGTATAAAGATGCTGCATAGATGTTGAGCGATGCACAGAAAATCTTGCGAATTGGGTGATTGTGGCGCCAGTGAAGCAGACGGTCTCGGCTAGTACCATTTAGAAAGATTTTACTAAAGCTGTCAGGAATGCCTCAGCTTGGGGGTAAAGGCTTGTGTTTCCAATTCCAGGATTCAGGAATTTACACTTTGCTTCAGAGTGCATCTGGATTAACCACAGGCACAGGGGGGCATTTTTACAGTATGCTGTGCATCAATCCCACATGCATGCATTCTGCACACCAAGGAGCTGTTGTTGGCTTCTTAAGGTTCATTGTGTGACTGAATTTTACAGACAAATTGAAATCAGATGCCTACAGTGCCTTTATTCATCATTACTTGTAGCAAATGAACATACTGTCTCTATTTCGCTTAGCTTTTATGCTTAAGTCTCGTCTTTGGGGATATGACAAATCTGAATATAAATCTGAGATCTTGTTTCTGATTGTAGTTATGAACAGCCTTTTAATGCTTTTTTCAGACAGCATTGCAGCTGTCCACTCAGACCTTTGATGCTGAATGGAGGGCTTGCCTTTTATTTGGCTCCATAATAGATTTTCCTTCCTGTGTCCCTTTTTTTATTTTCACTAACACAGTGTTTGCACTCGCTGTTTTGATCCATTCACATTCACTAATTACTTCCAGGATGAAGCTGAATCAAGCCTTTGCCATTCAGGATTTCTTACATTTGCTTTTTCTCAATGTGTGCTTCCACATACAGTTAGCATGACTAATACTTATGTAGCTGCTGAGTCACTGCTTTGCTACTCCCCGATGTTGTAACACTGACAATGAGTAGAAACATTTTCCCACATTTCCCCAACAGTTGGTGCTTCACATGATTGTAGACGCTGCTCATTTAGAAATCATTTTACTCATGTCACGAGACTGAGCAGTCGAACTATAGTTCATAACAAGCTGTTCAGATCCCCGGAGAACCTTCTTCTGAATCTGGTGAATACAAGAAAGACAGACTGAGAAAATATAATCAAAAATTATGTGTAAAATATCTATAGTGTCGACGTATTTCTTTATTCCAAGCATGACTTAGCATGGCAAAGCACTTTCCCCAAAAGCCAGTTACTAATACTGTTTACTTAAAAACTAGATTTTCCACTGGGGTTGGTTTGTGAATCTATTTGTCCTAGAAGATGATTAAGTAGTTGAGCTTGTTTTAACCCACCTTTTGAATGAATGAAACTATAATAATGAAAAAAATAAAACTTGTATAACCCTGCCCCTTTCTCACTTTTCTATGAGTTTAAATATATATTATTCCAACAAATACTCACAATTATTTACAAATACTATATAAACATATCTCCAGTTTGTTTGACACCTAAAATAAATGAAGAACAATCCTAGTGTATTTATCCTAATGTCCACCCAGTGTTACAACATGTGTCGAAATACCCCTAAAACAGCTTTTCCTCCTCTTCCATGTAGCTGTCACAAATATCTTTTCAACACATTGTTTTTTCAAATTCAATTAGCCTCTTACATCATCGTCTTAAATCCTAACCCCCCTCCCTGTCACACAGAATTTTATGAATGTTGCCTGGGACACATTTGAGTTGTCAACAGTTGCCACAGTGTGGCCTATTTCTGTCTCATTAGTTCTTAGCATATTTCTCTGTCTTGAAATATTTGAAATATATATGAAATATTTAAACAAGACGAGGAGGGAATAATTCATTGATTGTTAATCATTCATCAATCATTCATCAATCATTCATCTTTCTGTCCTCACTGAACTTAAGTGCCCTCATGTTTCCTGCCTGTTATTCGGTTATCCGGCTCTGACTTGGATCTAGATAGTCAACAAAGGTCAGATAGCTGATCACATGTCTGCTGTTCATGTCAAACAGCGTCTGGTGGTTTGTCAACACTAGTTATGTTTGTAAAGATGTTCTGAAAACTCTATATTTCCATTTACCACATGTGCTTCCAATAACCGGGCAGATCAAGTAACATAATGGATCCTTTTTCCTGAGATTACAGCTCAACTTTTTACTCATCAAAGATGTAATAATGTGGCCTTTAAATGCGTCCCCTGCTGTAAAAAAGTTATCTGACTGGACTGTCAAAAAGAAGCAATGAACTAATGAACTATGTTCTCAAAAGAAAATACATTTTATCTTTCCATATGAATGTATATATTTCCTACAACTGTTGATTGTTAAACGTCTTCCCTTGTAATTAGTTCATCAAAGTATTGTGGTCAATTACAGGTTTGTATAATGATGTTGTTAATAACAAGTCTTATCTGTTTGTTTGTTTCTCAGAGCACCTACCACAAGAGAGACGAGTTTCATAGAAAAAATGAAGAAAACTGTGAGTAAAGTTTATTTTCACATGCAGTGTTTTCATGTTCAAGTTTTCTGCAAAGCGAGTTCAACGCACCCAGAGCTTCACCAACCCTAACAAAGGAGATCACGCTAAACAGTCACACAAAGCTGGTTATCAGCCTGAGAAGTCAACCCAGAGTTTCACATGAAAGGGCGGTGTCAGCAGCAAATGACCACGTCTACCATCAGCAGATCCTCATATTTCACAAACCCAGAGCTAACTATATTAGAAAATATGAGGAAGTTTCACACATAATCGAACCGACCTTCCACAGCTGCAAAGATGATTAGGGGTAGAACTGGCAGAAAAATAAGTGTAAACTACAGCTTGTAATAAAACTTTGTTATCATTAGTGCACAAATGATCTGAATATAATAACTGTTTCTTCCCTTAAATTCAATATTTTCTCAAATGTGGTGTGTCCATTTAAGACGTAATATTCAGCTGCAGCTAAGACAAAGGTGGTATAGGGATTATAAAAATTAATATTAAAACATAAATAAAAGGAATAATGACGCTTATTTGTATGAATTATATTTCCAGAATGTAGGCTTCAGTCCTTTGATTATTAATGCCTTACAGATATCATCCTACAACAGAGACTAAACAAACGGGAAACAAAGTGTCTGTCGCCTCCTCGCCTTCTCCCCTCTCACAATCAGCTCTCAGACCTCCCCGATCAAATGATTTGAAAGACATACCGCTTTTTACTGAGTTGTTTAGGCTTGCAGATGCACACTGTTCAACTTGTTTTTGAAGCCCTTCACCACATGTTAATGGACCTTGGAGTCTTTTTCAGCAGTTTGATGGTCACAAGACAATAGTGGATTTTAAATGAAGTGCTAAACGGTAGTTTTCTCTTTTTATGGACAAAGAATATGAAAACTAACAGGTCTCTCTCCTAATGTGACTCGATGCAGTTTTAGAAAAAGCGGTTTTGACTTTGATTGTCCTGTTGTCAAGCAGGCCTTGATTTAAAACCCAAGTCTTTTTTTTTTCCAAGTGGTTTTGCAGAAAATAGTTAAGATACCACGATGGTGGCAGAGAAGAACTCCCCCCCCATTGCTTTTGAAAATGTTCTCTTTGTTTTAACCCTCTAGGCAAAGAATTGTATTCATTCCTCAAATGTGGGGGTTTTTCAGAGCAAAGATATTGTTTGTTTTTCAATTATGAGATGAAGCTTTTACTTGCATTGTATAAAACTTTTTTTTTTTTTTACATTTTGCTTACAGAGCAAGAACATCATTGTATTCTACGGCTCTCAGACGGGTACAGGAGAGGAGTTTGCCAACAGGCTTTCCAAAGACGCTCAGCGCTACGGCATGAAAGGAATGGCTGCTGATCCAGAAGAGTATGACATGGTAATTTGCTTCAGCGTTACAGCATCCAAACCACAGACTTCAGATGAACAGAGGTCTGTTACATCAGCCAGTCCATGATTTGTTAAGGAAAAAGTATCATTAAAGAGCTGAAGTGTCTTAAGGAAAATCAATCATTCATGTGTCACCTTAGTGGTGTAAGTCTTATACTGCTTAAATTTTCATTCATTTTGATGACTGATATTGATACCTATCCAGTCACAAATATGGTCTATATAAATACTGCCATGGTCATGTGATCACTGATAGGTATTGATTCTATGTGGTAAAATAAAATGCGCTGAGGCAGACCTAAGTACATCACACACTAATATCTAAACGTGCACAATGCAAAGTGCACAATTGTATGACCTTTACCTTTATCCAACAGTTTATAGCAGCAATGCTGAGTGAGGCTTAGGTCACATACTTTTGATTTGTGAGTCTTAAATTGCACGTTTGCTGACAGGGCAGCTCTTTGGACAACAAGTCAGACAAATAAAAACAAACCTGATTAAGATATTAAAGTCTCTGATTGTGATCGTGTTTTAGGGGGAACTGTCTCGTCTATCGGAGATTCCAAACTCCCTTGCCATTTTCTGCATGGCCACCTACGGTGAAGGAGACCCCACCGATAATGCCCAGGACTTCTACGACTGGCTGCAAGAAAATGACGATGAAGACCTCTCCGGACTAAACTACACAGTGAGTCGCCATGCTCATATTTTTTTTTTTTTTAAGCTGTAGGGTTCTTATGGGAATGCTGGAAATAGTGTAAATGTAATGGTGATGAGACTGTTAGGTACTGGTGCTGGTTGTTGTCATCTTGTTAATGATATATAAATTGGGTCAGCAGTAGCTCAGTCGGGAGGTTCGCAGGTTCAAGTCTGGGTGCGGCCCAAGACTGGAATTTGGTTAAATCCTGAGTGCTGCCGATGTGCCCTTGAGCGAGGCACCGAACCCTGAACTGCTTGGGCACTATTTTATGTGAAGGCCCTCACTCTGACATCTCTCCATTAGTTCATGTCCATGATCCTGCCTGTGCATGTGTCTATTTTCAGCCTATGTGTGTGAAGCTTGTCTCAATAACTAACAGTGTTAAAGTAATTTCCCCTTGTGGGATTAAAGATGGGTCCCTTCTAGTAAAATATATATTCATACTACAACACAACAGTGGCACATTCATACATTTTTTGGGGGGGATTTGACCCCAAAAGCTTATCAAAAGGATTGCAGATAGACCACATATTGATTGGTGAAATGACTCATTGTTGCAGCTCGTATGTCAAGATGGAAAGTGGAACTTGATCAGCTAAAGCCATGCAAACTCTTTAACTTATAGACGTCCTCATGCAAATAAATTCACATTCTGTTCACTGTTGCTGCTCTCCAACCCCTTTCACTTAATTTTATTAAGGCTTCACTAGCATGAGCTGTGTCTGGCTTTGTGTACATCATGAAAGAATGGGCTTTGTGTGTTGTCATGTCTGTGCGTGTGTCGTGTCATTGTTGGGGTACAAGGCTGCTGGCCTCATTTGAGTACGTGACTGTGGGAAATCTAATTTAATTTGTGGGCACAGTCACATCCTGTTCTGCTGTATGTTATCTATTGTCTCACTGGTTTCTAACTACAGACAATATAGACACTCAGATTAAAAAAAAAAAAAAATGTAATTATTACTTATCTTCAACAAAAAAGAGCGTCTTGGATTTTTGACCAACTTTTATATGACAAGACAGTTCATTGATGCATTTTCTTCTTTAAAGATTATTTCTGGGATTTTTGGGTCTTTATCTGAAGGGACAGATATAGAGAGACAGCAAAAGTGGGGGGAGAGAGAGAGAGTGGTGGCTTATATGCATCAAACAGCGTCAGAATCAGGAATTCAACCTGCCACCAGTGCAATGAGGACTGTAGCCTCTGTACATGGGACGTCTGCTCTACTAACTGAGCTATACTGATGCCATCGTGTGTTTATCTTGTTTACAGTAAACCAGTTTATTTTGCCCTAGTCTATTTTCTGAGGAGTTCTCAATGTGTTCTGTTCTGCCTCCAGGTATTTGCTTTGGGCAACAAGACATATGAACACTACAATGCGATGGGAAAATATGTCGATAAAAGGCTGGAGGAACTCGGAGCCAAGCGCATCTTTGACCTGGGCATGGGAGATGATGATGGAAAGTAAGTGATCTGTTTGTCCTGTGATTAAAAAAAAAACACAAAAACAAAGAATAGTAGCTCTAGATCGATGTCAGCAGAAACAGGATGTCCCCTTTTTTACACAAGAAATCTTGTGATCTAATTAACTCAGTCATTTGTCCTATTTTATTTTATAATTGTAAACTGTCATGCTTTAATTATTTAAAAGGGTTCATTCAAAGACATTCCTTAACTGACTGTCCTGCTTTGTCTTTCAGTCTGGAAGAAGACTTCATATCATGGAGGGAGCAGTTCTGGCCGGCAGTCTGTGAGCACTTTGGAGTTGAAGCTTTAGGAGACGAATCCAGGTTCATAACAGTTCTTCACTTCTCAAGTGCCTTATCTTTACCATGAACTACAATTCTTACTCTTTACCAGCTCTTTACACACAAACACGTCAACATATTAACACTAAATCTGTGAATAACATCTTGAAAGTAAACAGGACAATGAATGCAAACAGGACTTATTGCACACTTTAGCCTAATATGGGCTTTTTTGCTTTGATACTCCACCCAGAGTCTTGTTGTTATTCTTTCTTAGAATACCCATATCTGACAAAGACTTGTCATGTTATCACTGCATAATTCATGAGTGGAAACCCCACCCTGTTACCAGAAAATAGCAAATACCAAGAATAAAAGTCAAGTGTTATTCTGCCCCACTAGGCAGGCACCATCCTGTAAAAAATAATACTACAATACTTGTACTATTGAAGTTAATTTTTACTTTATTTCACTCTGAGTTTAATTTATTCACTTTGTCTTTTTCTGAAATGGCTAACTCCAAACAATGTTCCCTCTCAGCATACGACAGTACGAGCTAAAGGAGCACACCGACATTAACATGAACAAAGTGTACTCGGGGGAGATTGGTCGTCTGAAGAGTTTTGAGGTCCAAAAGCCGTAAGTACTGTAGCAGAGACGCTGTCCAACACCAGAAACCATTCATCATTAGAGAGCTGTCTGCTCAGTCATTTCTCACATTTCACCCACATTCATAACCAACTGCAGAGTTAACCAAAGGTCATTCTCCAGGAATATAGAAGCTGTCTGCCCCCTAGTGGACATGGAAAACCAATTTATGCAGCTTAATAATTACATCATACTAATTTAAGAAACTACTTTTGGGGTTATTAGACTAAATATCTCTTCTGTGTCGATCACCAGCCACTGTATGTTCATTTTAACTTTTCTCTATCATTTACAGACCCTTTGATTCCAAAAACCCTTTCCTGGCCCACGTATCCGTCAACCGCAAACTCAACAAAGCAGGTGATAGATATCTTATGCACCTGGAATTAGACATAACTGGCTCCAAGATTAGGTGAGATTGTGCAAAAGCTTTCTGAGATGTCTTAACACAGTATCCAGGCTCCCACAGGTTAAAACAATTAGGCATATTCTGTCATTCCAGATATGAGTCAGGAGACCACGTTGCTGTTTTCCCCACCAATGACTCTGGGTTGGTGAACAAGCTGGGACAAGTCCTTGGAGTGGACCTTGATGTGGTTATCTCTCTCAACAACCTTGATGGTATGACATTGAAAGTTTGCAGCACCTTGACTTCACTATCACAAACTGCAAACCCACTCATGAAAATCTCCTCTGATAACTGCACTCACGCTATCAGCTCAACATATAAAACCATATAAAGATTATACAATCTTAAATTTTGTTTCCTGTCATTATGGGGGACATAGTGTGTAGCTGATAAAGTGTAAGATAAGTGATAGTCCTCCCTCTACAACCATCTTTACAGTTGATCATGTTAATATTAGACTGATCAGTTGATTAGCATACTTACCTGTTACTGCTAATACTACACATACTTTAACCATCATTACCGACATAGTAGTTATGAATCTATCTTATTCATTGTTGTTGTTGTTGCTCTGTTTGTCTTGATCCTTCTTCATGCATCTTCCTCTATCCTACTGTACAAGCTCAACACAGTTTCTGTAGACGGCTGATCAAGCCGTCTGGTTTTTTCTTTTTTTCTTGCTTTGTAGGTTTGCTAAATGTTTCTTAGTACTCATAATGTATCTTATGATCATATATTCTTAATGAAGAAGTAATGTAAGGGGGGAGAATGGGAGTGAGTGGTTGTAGGCAGCGTTAAAGAGGTGAGTTTTTAGGGATTTCTTGAAGAACAGATGTGTTTTGTGAGCCTAACCATAAGATGCATTCCCTACACAGTCATTGTTAGTGCTTTAAATTGGCTATAGTGTTATTAAACTTTGATACACATTTGTTGATCTAACTCCCCCCCCTCAAAATCACTGTTGATTTTTTCAGAGGAGTCCAACAAGAAGCATCCTTTCCCCTGCCCCACCACCTACCGCACTGCCCTCACTCACTACCTGGACATCACACACCCTCCTCGCACCAACGTCCTCTATGAGCTGGCACAATACGCCTCCGACCCTAAAGAACAAGAGAATATGCGCAAGATGGCTTCCTCCTCACCTGAGGGAAAGGTAAGTTACATGTGGAGAGGATTCAACCCTTGTGGTTTAAGAATAACTGTTCATACAAATAAAAATTCAGCCGTTCAGTAAATTCAATAGAAACACAGCTAGATGATCGTATTGCTGAACTGGGCATACACACATTTAGATACTTGATGTTATTGTCTGTTTGTCACTGCTTCTCTACAGGCCCTCTACCAGAGTTGGGTGTTGGATTCTTGTAGAAACATCCTCGCTGTCCTGGAGGACTTTTCGTCATTGAAACCTCCCATTGACCACCTGTGTGAGCTGCTCCCCCGCCTCCAAGCTCGCTACTATTCTATTGCTTCCTCCTCTAAGGTGATTTGCTGTTTAATATCAGGATCAAGGTTAAAATGAAAAAATGAAAATGTTGGCCTTATCTGAGAATTAACGTAACTCCCCCTTGCTCTGTAGGTTCATCCCAACAGCATCCACATCTGTGCTGTAGTAGTGGAGTATGAGACAAAGACTGGCCGCACCAACAAGGGAGTTGCCACCAACTGGCTGAAAAACAAACTGATCACAGACAACGGCCACAAGTCCACTGTTCCCATGTACATCCGCAAGTCCCAGTTCCGCCTGCCATTCAAAGCCACCAACCCGGTGATCATGATCGGCCCTGGGACGGGAATCGCTCCCTTCATGGGCTTCATCCAGGAGAGGGGCTGGTTCAAAGAGCAAGGTACCTGCAGACACCGAGTGCCCTTTTGAGTGCTGTGTGTTTGTCTGTCTATCACAGCTGCTTTAAGGGTGGAGGGATAATGAGAAAGAGCTTCAAAAGTGACAGACCACTGCATGCACAAACAAACAAATGACATAATGCTCAGCACTCTCATAATGAAGTAAACATGGAGGCAGTGACAGTCACTGTTAATTGTTTCATTAATAAGTTTATCTGCAGTGGAAGTCAACTACACTCTGAGGTGTGTTTTTAGAGTGCCATGCAAACAGTCTGATATCTATCTGACTAATGATCCAATAGGAGAGTTTCACAAATTAGAGTTGATAAATTTTAGATAACAGATTTAGGCTGTTCAGACTTGTGTAAAAAAAAAAGTCAATCAGATATGAGCGCAGGAATTAAGTTTGAGGAACTTTGGCTGCAATCTTAACATAGCCTTAGTTGTTATAAAGACATGTAGACTTTAAACAGAGCAAATAATGAGGTTCTGTTAAGAAGAGAGAGAACCCACAGTGTTTCTTGTAAAAAACACGATGCATGTTTTTGCAGCTGGGTCAGACAATTTCTTGATCAGTGATGCAAATCCAACTGGGATGTTCAGCACATACAAAATAACTGATGTCAAGTTGTGTTTCCTTATAAAGGAAAGGAGGTTGGAGAGACGGCGATGTTTTTTGGCTGCAGACATAAGAACGAGGATTACATCTACCAGGAGGAGCTGGAGGAGGCGGAGAAGACTGGGGTTCTAACACAGCTTAATGTGGCCTTCTCCAGAGACCAGGATCAGAAGGTACAGCTTTCTTACCTGCTGTGATCGAAACAAACTTCAGTACTTGGTTTTCAGGTTTTGTTAGTTAAGCATATACAACAACGCAGAATCACAGCAAAGCCAGGTGAAGATTGTAGATTTCAGAGCAATGGTTTAGCTCATAAAATGTGCCAAGGTTTGATTGTAAATGTAAACTCTGTATTTGTTGGATGGTAGTTAACATATTTCACTGTTGATTATGTTACTTGAATAATTGATCAAATTGAGATTATAGGAAGACTTGTTAAACAGTGACCTTAATAGTAGATGTACATTATACTTTGTTTGTTGTCCTTTTATTCTTTTTTTCCTGTAGACAAACATTCAAAGACATACATTTGAACATTTGTTTTCTTTTTATGCTTTTAAAAACTAAAGGTGTACGTGCAGCACCTCTTGAAGAAAAATAAGGAGGACATCTGGAAACTGATTCACACAGAAAACGCTCATATCTACGTCTGCGGGTAACTGACACAAGCATCCAGCAAATCATGCTGATCAGATTTGATATATTATAAAAGAACAAAACTTTAAAATGTATTTTTTATGTAATGGAAAGAAAACTTTTAGTTGTTTAACATGTTTAAAATATACTTGAATTGATCTTGCTATTTGAAACATGTTAATTATGACATTTTGTTTTGACTACTCAGGAAACTAACATTGTCTTTGGTGCTTTAGTGCCTCCTCGTGGGCTAGATAAAACTTGTTTAGACTGCCAATGTTTAAAATTGTTGATTACCAGCTTTAGTTGCACACACAAGCAAAACAAATTTAAGAGAGAAAAAAAACACTGAAGTTGACTAGACATTCACAGTTATCCTTTTTCTTGATCCAGGGATGCGAGGTACATGGCTAAAGACGTGCAGACAGCCTTCTACGAAATCGCAGAAGAGCTGGGAGGCATGACGCGCACCCAAGCCACGGACTACATCAAGAAACTCATGACCAAGGGACGCTACTCACAAGACGTCTGGAGTTAAAGAGCCTCAGACTCTGCTTTAGTGTCACTACTTGAGTGGTTGTTTTAAATTTTTAAATTTTTTACTCTTATGTCTTGTATTATCAGGACTGAATATAAAAACCATTAAACTCTTGTTCATCACCCTGGTTCATGAGAGCTTCAGGTAGCATAAGATGATGAGGCAAACCCTACCTCGGCTGGTTGTGTTAATTAAACCCGTTTGGTAATTTCCCCAGCATTACCTATGTATAATATGTTAGATATCAGGACCACCAGCCTGTGACTGCTGGGGTCCTTCAACAGTTACTTCAACTGGTTTCAGTCAGAGTCTCTGATATAAGTGAATGAGTTTGTGGTATTGAGTATTTGACTGCAACTCATGCTGCTTGCAGGTCAGATGTAGGAACCCATTTATATTGAAATTCCACAATCATGAAAGCTTACTTTAAAATTGTGCATATACATTTTTGATTGAATTGATTAATATGTAAATGAGTCATCGTTGTGGCTGTGCAGCTTCGTAAAAGGATGATGACTCTTGAGTGGTAAATAAATCTGTTCAGTGTGCCGGGGACACTGCTTCAGATGTACATTATATAACCCCAATGTGGACATGCAGAATAAAAATAAAAAGGTATAAATTACATTCAATTTGATTGTGGAGCTGAAAACAAAACAGACAACATCGTGATGTATAAATAATTGTTGCGGTTTCCAGTTCTAGATTGAACATTAAACGGTGCTTTATTAAGTTCCTCTCAGATGTGATCAGGTACTGCTTTTGAAGTACTTAAAATGCATTTAAATGTTTAAGAAACATTAACAAAAATCTTGGAGGAAAATGGTGGTGTATCTTGCATCATGCTGTAGGTTCTACCATGTTTACCTCAATGTTTTGACAGGGGATTTTGCCTCTTATACAGAAGTTCCTGTTGTTTTTTTTTCTACTTAAACAGTAACCTCTTGAGAGGCATAAAAGATGATGCAAAGGGGGGGAGATCAATCTTGGAAAAAACACAAGCGCTTGTATGTTCTGTCTCTCTGTCATTTAACATGATGTATCTGTAAACTGATGTTTGTAAAATGTTCACGCATATGGAAATGTCTGAGGGTTGTTTATTTTATGCATCCCTCAGCAGAGGATTATGAACTGTCATGCAGCAGTAACACTTGGGACACATGACACCCACCCCTGTCTGTTATTTTCTTTTTTTTTTTTAATCTTACTTTGTCCAATCACATATGCATTACTACTCTGAGAAAATGACTAGTGTCTCATGTCCCAGTACTTTATATTGTCCAATCACATATGCATCACTACGTGGAGAAAATGACCAGTGTCTCATATCCCAGTAAGTGTGAAAATGAAAGTTTGTGGAGCTCCGGAGACAAGTGACTATGAAGCCTGTGCCTTTTTAACAATGCCTTATGTTTTGAGTTAGCATTTTAACCATGATGCTTCACTGCCTTTTAACAGTTGTCTTTTTCTCACCCTTACATTTTAATGAAAATTAATTTTACATAGTTCTGTCACTTTTTTATTCGTTCCACTGTATTATGTAATAATTCAACTTTATCAAGACATGCCTTTTTAAACGAATAAAATTGGAATAATCTGTAAATGTGACTTTTTGTTATTAATCATGGCAAATGCAATTAGGTTTATTTACAATCAGTTCCCTGTGTGGTATATCAAATGGAAATGTCCAGGTGTAGTTTTCTTAACACTGGATGTGGATGTAAAATCAGTATTACTGAGTATATTCAGCAATCTATAAACCAGTGTGTTTGTCATGTCTGACTTTAGTCTTTCTAGTTAATTTTAAATATTTTGTTGATCTTAAATCATACCAGTTGAGGTCATTTACCAGCAACAGAATTTACAACATACAATGAAGAGTAATATTTTAAGATTTTTTATTAAAAAAAAAAAAAACAAGCCTATTTCCCCCCCGAAAAAAACTTTGATATTACATCATTGACTGTAAATATTAAAATAAACATGTATCGGTGTTTTTATGAGTACCCTTCTGAAACAGTAGGTGGCGACATAATAACTTTGAACGCGAGCAGCCTTAAAAAGGCAGAAGAAGAAGAAGAAGCTGCACAAGGGAAGTACCGCAGTGTGTCTAGCTCAATGCTGTGGAGCTGCGCAGATGTTAACGAGGGTTTTTTTTTATTATCAGCTAATCGGAAGATATACATATAAGTGTTCTTTTTAAACTATATTTACTTAATGTGAAAAGATGGCCACCGGTAAGTCAGAATGTCCTCTTGTTTGTTGTTGTGAATGTGTTCGCGTTGTTTCCTGAGGTTAATCAAAGTGGGACGGATAGCATTTAGCTAAACAAGTGTAGCACCGCGAGGCCTGCGGGGCTCCGTGTATTTCATGGAGTTCATATTTTAAAAGCAAACCCAACTAGACGCCGACTTGTGTTTACATAGACATGTTTCCAAGCTATAACTGTTCACAAGTTCACATTAAAGTCCAACTATAACAGTGATTTATCTACACAGTAATCACACTGTTTTCTGAGTCGGTGGAGAAATACCCGGATGAGCAGGCCGTCGTCGCAGCGAGCTGAATGCGTCTTTGTCTACACCGGAACATTTGTTTCCACGCTACGCGGGAATCATCGCCCCATCTGGAGCAATACAGTCATAGAAAAAAATAAATCCTGACCTAACAGATTGTTTCAAGCAAACTGTACGAAAGATGAGACAGCGTTTTGAAATGTATGATGGTTTGTTTCCGTGTCAAGGTTTAGCCCCAGCCTCAAAATCGACCGCCATTTTTTTTTTTTTCCCCCTTGCCAGGCCTGGCGTGGTGACGGGCCTGTTTGCGTAAAGCTGCCCTACTTCAGTAACACACTTTGTTTCCACAGCGAGCAGAGCAACACCAGCTGCTGGTCAAATAAACAAAAAGCTCTGTGTTTCTGCACACACTTTATAAAAATTTAGCATTTTAAGTTCCAACACGTTGTTTTTTTCTCTTTTCAGATTCAGGCTACGGTGGCTCTCAAAGGTAATTAACTAATACGCTTTGATATATATATATATATATATGTGTGTGTGGCAAAGTGTCTATAGATAGATAGATTGTGTATATATAGAGAGAGCTTATAAGGAACACAGGAATTTAATTTAATAAATTGTAATTATTGAGCTGTGGAAAAGGGGTAGGATTAAATAAGTTTTATACTTCTTCCTACTCCTTTTCAGGCATATCAATTGAATACATGTAATTTTCTTTTTGTGAAATAATTTGAACATTGTTTTTTTTTTTTGTTTATTTTTTTTTTGTGCTTTTCATTTTGTTTTGATATGTCTGAAATAAATTTAACCAAACAATCAATATGCAGATCTAAACTGTTATTAAACCTAATAATGTCTGCTTGTTTGTTCATGTGTCTGTAGCTATGGAGCATACAGCGGTCCGCCGACTGGACAGGTAAAACTACTCTTCAGGTTACAATAAGCATGCTGGTCACTTTTCACTTTTACATCATATTTAAGGGGATTCCTTCTGCTTCACAGGGTTATGGGCAAGGAAATGGAGGTGCCTCTTATGGGGGACAGAGTTATGGGGGCTATGGACCGCAAGCCCCAGCACAAGGTATAGTAAATGTAAATTTCATCAAATGAAAGTGACAAAAACTTGAGATACACGTTGAGATTTATTTGGCTTTTTGCTATTTCTGATTTTTGAATGCCCCTCTTGCATATTCTGATTGTGGTAGATAACATTTACCTTTCTATAGAGCATTATAATTAAAAAAATAATTCATCTTAATGTTATAAAACACAAAATTTGATACAATTGAGGAGTTGCTGATCAACACAGATGAACTGGCTGGAAATCTTCATAATTCCAGTCACCAGCCCGTCAGTTGATGCACCGCAAATGAAAACCAAACATGGAAAACCTGACACACAACTTCGGTGTCACATTAAGATATTGTGTGCTGATAAGCTGACCCTCTATAACCAACATACAGTGACTTCAGATTTCCATTTTGTTTATAATACCTGATTGGCAAAATTGAAACTTACTTTACAAGAGTTAGTTGAGTAGTGTATTTGTTTGAAAGTAATTGGGGGTATTCTGATTTGTCTCTGTACTTTTTCAGAAGGCTATCCTCAGGCTCAGCAACCGAGCTATGATAGTTACAGTGCACAGGACTCAACTGGGTGAGTTGTTAATATTTCTATTTGCTAAACCTTCTCAAAATGTGACTACTGGGATTTTGTTTTGTGGGTCCTGATGACTTTCCCTTTAGTGTCTTCTTTACATTATGATGTTGGATATTTAATCCACAGAAAATGAGTCTTGTATAACATCATTACAAAGGTTTTATTTGAACTGTAATTATTTCTCCAAAAACACTTAAAGGTATGGCGACAAGTCATCCTCTTATGGGCAGCAAGGTTCCTATGGTGGGCATGGAGGAGCAGGAGGAGGAGGAGGAGGAGCAGCAGCAGGAGATAGTTATGGACAACCGAGCGCTTATGGCAGCCAGGGACAGAGCAGTCGTGGCAGCGGCGGCAGCAGTTATGGAAGATGGAGTGATGGTACAAATTGTTGGATTTTGGTTTGGTAAAGAGACCTATCTGCAGATTGTTTGCATGTGACACATTGTGATCTAATGGTTATCTTTGCAGCAGGTGAAGGTGCTGGTCAGGGTGGGCGGTATGGACGTGACCAAGGAGACCGTGAAGAAGGGGGAGGGGGCTACAGAGGCCGCGGCCGTGGTGGCTATGATCGTGGGGGTTTTGACCGCGGTGGTTACGACCGTGGCAGCAGAGGAGGACCTCCTGGTACGGGGTAAGTTGCGTTTAGCCACTGCCCCCAAGGTACCTCTATACACTGAATGATGAAACATGATCAACACATCACCACTCATCTACTATAAACCATCCACATAGACTATTTTCACCACTCATCTGTTTTGTGCTCCAGATATACAAACTTGGTATCTCTTTCTGAAACTGTACCCATCTAAAGTTGTTGTGGATCACACATGTAATGTTCACCACCCCTCTGCATTGTACTCCAGGAGTCTCACCTGTCAGGTTTTTTTTTTTTTTTTTGGTTCCAAAACCGGATTCACACCGTTTTTATAGAAGCCACATGCTGGTGTTAAATCCACATTGCTGTAAATGGTGTCTGGTTCAGTTAGGGCTAGATGAGAGTTATTTTACTAATTCAGGCTCTACTCCTTACCAATGGGGTCTTAAGTGAAGAAATCAAGACATTTTGCACCCATACATTGGGTCAGGTTTAGTCATTGATGTGACACAACAGGTGACTTTTATTTCTAACGAGCTCATTGGATATTTTCTTTTAATTCCAAAGGGAACTCAAACAAGGGATTTCTATTTATTGTGTATACACTGATAGGCTTATCATTTGTTTTGTTGTATATGGGCCCTCTTACCATGAAATATCTGATCCTTCAGAAAAGAGTAATCAAGAAGCAGAGTGACACAGGAATATCTTGCCTGGTGTATTGTTCTCCAAAAGATGCACATCTGTAACCAGTTGAAGATCTTTGATTTAGGCAGCATTTTAAAAGACAAATCTTCTGAAGCCAGAAAGTTAGTTTTCGCCTGTTTCTTGTGCGCTGAAGACTTCATGGTAGTTTTTTTGAACAATGGGAACTCCCCTGAAACGATGCCCCTTAGACCTGGAGCCACATCTTCAGCTGCTTCACATCCAGCAGGTTTCATTCAAGTGTTGTATAATTGACAATGGCGAACATGTGTGTTGTGTTAACATGGATCTACATTTTATACTACAGGTGTACAGAGTGATTGAACTAAAACTTGGACCTCAGTTAAAGGATCTTTAAAACGCACTCAGTGGAAGATTGCTTATCAGTTGCTATACCCCATAACACGAATTTGGCTTGCAGTGTTAACGGAAAAGAAATTCAGCTGTCCTTCCAGCTCTTGGTATTGAATTTGGCCCTGGAAAAAATGTACAAAATTATTTAAATGACGACCCAGTGACTTATAATTATCTTCACTCGTCTGCCTGATTGTTCAGTCAGAGCTTCCAAGTCGAATGTTTATTGATCTCTAATGTAAAAGACTAACGCATTCCTCGTGTGAGACATTTCCACCATAGTCGCACACCCTGGCAGGAGTGCATACTGATGGGGATGTAGGGGAGCTTTGAGCTCTCAGTTGGGACAAAGGAAAGGCCATCATATCTCCAATTTTTCCTCTGCAGAGGTGGTGACCGTGGTGGCTACAAAAATTACGGTGGTAAGTGACGAGCATCAGAACTGTGTCGGTGTGGGAGGAAAGAACTTGAGTTAGTAAAAAAAGGAAAGGAGAGAGGGGGTTTAAAAAAAAAAAAAAAAAAAAAAGAGTCAGTGCAGTGAATGCCACCATTTTCATGTCCAGATCCCAAGGGACTCCACCTATTATTCTTAGCAGGATTTCTCATAAATGACTGTATGGTAAAGAACATGGAGCCTCAGATGTAAAATAATGGTACTGTTGCATGAAGACAAGGGGATGATTGTAAATAACAAAGGTGCTCCCAGGACGAAGAAGGAAAAACTCTGGTGGTTTTCATTTCTGGTGTAAGCTCAAAAAGAGAAAACGGAACACA